CATGTGACTCGCTGACATAAACAACCTCAGGACAACAACAAATGACTCGCGCTAAAGTGCGATCAGCGGCGGCCAAACCCATCGCTTGGACCATTCAGTGGCGTCATACAAGTCCTTGACCTGAGTTGCTTGCAACCGTTTTAAACAGCCCCAACATTACTCGCATTGCAGTTTGTTCACGTTCCAGTATCGTTTACCTAAGCAAACAAACTGATAGTTTCAACGTGAAATATCTGAGTCATCCACAGTGTTTGTTGGAAATACACTCCCCTCCGAATGGACCTGTTCTGTCATAGCTGGCAGTCATGAAGGATACTTCACTTCGAGCAATCATGCCTGAAGCTGCCGTCTAGAAGGCAATGAGCCATTTGAAGCTGAGGGATCCAAGTCTTGAGAATCCACTCGATGCCAGCCGGGGCTAAAGCGACGAGCACATCCTGACATTCGATGATCTGAAACATGTCCTTCTAACTGTAGAATAATTCGGACCATTGTGATGCTACTTTTGACCCCACATGTGTCCCCGCCCTCCCGCATGAGCTAACTTATAAAATTCGCCTGCTCATTGGCTCCAACAAATGATATAGCTCGCGTTCTGGTTGATTGACTCCAATGCATAAATCAAAACCCCCGCCGCACGTTTCTTTCGAAAACCAACAACACACATGTCACATTCGCATCACCTATCAGCCATTGGAGACTCAATATCTGACACCCGCAAGACACATCATGTATAAGTGTGAGGAACAGAGATGCGTCTAGGATTTACGGCACACATCTAGCCCCAGGCCATCCAAAGACATCAGTAAACATCGTTTCATACGTCTTTAGCGAGTAAACATGGTCTTGGGAAATTTCACGCTCATTCACGCTTCGCCTCTTGTTCTTCCACTGCACAGTGAGACATCACCACCGCATTTTGCGCCAGATTGGTAATGATATCGTGTGCGCAATTTTAGTTGTTCGATATGATAGTGCCAGGCGCACGTGTAGTCTAGCGTTGGAGCCGGGCGTTTATCAGGCACCACACCAGGATCAGCCATTGGCTGGCTGGACACACCACAATCTACACTTCAGGGCTTGTACTAGCACCGTGCTGAGAAGTAGACTGACATTTGATGTCCGCGCTTGCCATGCATATTACACACAGACAAATCCAATGTACAATGCACACATGCTAACTCTGTGAAAACATTACGACCAATTTTTGCAGACCCAAAGATCTAGTCCGCGCCACATAGCTGGGCAAACGACTTTGTAGCCATGCAATTGTTGCGAACCGAATCAGCAGGCTGTGGCATTTGGATCTAGAGGGGGGGCAAGTTCACGCTTTTTTCACGGGTAAACTCCGTCTTTCACGGGTAAACTCCGTCGTTCACGCAAAATTCACGGTTGGCTCACGGTCCCCGATTTGTCAACGATATTGGCGAAACATACAAATAAAAATTGACATTGTCTGCAATTCTCATACAACATAGCTAGCCTACAAGCATCGAATTGCCACCTCCTAGACGGTAATTAGCCCTGCCCATATACACGACCCAAGACACGTTGTTGCGCAGCGATGCTACGAGTGTGACTTCTTGCATGCTGATGCCATCGCGTGAATCACGCAGCGCAGCGGAGAAATACTTGCATGTGGCCAAGGTAATCTCGATCCATGGGGTCCATATCCATGCATGCCACATAGCTAGCATGATGTCTTACCTTGTCACGGGCCATTCACGGGTAAACACCGTCTTTTGCGTAAAACACCGTGTTTTTGTAAAGACATAGTTTACAGGCAAACGTGACGACTCCCCACTTTTGTCTGGGCTGAATCTAGAGGTCATTCAACCAAGTGGCTTGGAAACCCTCTAGGGTTCTCCTGTACGCCAGACGCCTGTTACCACCTTAGCCACTCCCTATGGGGGCCAAGGTCGTGGTTCCCTTGAAAAACGAACCCTTTTCACGGCTCTCAATTTTGTAAGGAGAATAAAAATAAGCATGGGGTAACTATTTGCTTCCCTGGTTTTCCCCGCGAATTTGAGTTTTCCCCCAATGTCCTCCCCAAACCAACAGTGGACTGCCAACAATACCCGACGGCTCTGTTTTGGTAAAAGAGAAGTCCTCCGCTAAAAACGGGGACACCGGGCATCGCAGAAGGAAACCTGATGATCATTGAACACCACCCCGAGCGTCAAACGATCATGGCGCCCCTACCTCTGCCAAGTGACCATCAGCTCCCCGCGCCCAAAGCTATCCAGCACCGCTTGAAAGGGCTGTTCTACCATCTCAAGGCCGATGGCTGGTGCCATGCCCGTCCGGCGCCTGCGTGGGCAAGACTTTCGCCTGGGAAAATTAAAGTCTGGGCAAGTGGTTCGTTCACCAACCAATAGCAAGGGGTCTCAATGAAAAGAAATCTTCATGATGGGTGATGTCGCAAACCCCCCCCAGTGACGTCGTCACAATTGCCCAGATTAATGTGACTTCTCGTGCCCGCGTTTACCGCCAGTTCCGCTGGAACCTGCTGCTCACAGCAGGCTTGGGCTGGCTAGATCCGTCAATCTTAATCTTTTTAATTTTTGAGCGACCGCCAGGTTCAGTCGAAAACCTGAGTTCCTGCAACAACACAGTGAAAAAGCGCTGACACGTGGGTGGCCGCAAGATCAGCGAAAGCCACTTCTCACCAGCGAAGCTCTCCAACTAGGTAGAAGCTATGTGAGCTGAGTCGGCGCGCTGGCGCTTACCATTTGGCTGGCGCGCGCGCGCGTAGTGCTCTGGTGCACTTGAGCGGGCGCGTTTACCATTTAGTTTGGCAGGCGTGCGTGGGCATTTGAGCAACTGCGCTTGAAAACCCATGGCGGACCGTGGGACAACTACCTCGGACAACTTTCAGATCTCCTCAAAATGTTCAAGGAACCCATCAGCTAGATCCTCGTGCAAAAGTGTGAACTTGGGCTGGTGGCAAAAAAGTGGAGAAGGCAAGCTTAATCAGGCAATGACAACAAGAAACTTTTGGAAATGCTGGGTTTGGAAAAGCCAAGCACGGGGGGTGCCTCCATTTTTGATTGCTTGCTCAAGGTGTGACTGACAAATAAGGCATTCACCAGCTATGACTCTTTTCTTAAAGTCTCACAGAAAAATAAACTTCAAGCAACCGGAGATATGGAGTACTCGAACGGTGAGGTTGATTCCTTCACTGCGTCCCTGGTGTTGTGCAGCTTATTTACACAAACGGGGGGAGGGTGAATATGAAAAAAACACCTCCGTTGGGATGTTCTGGAAATCAAAGTGCAGAAAACATAGGGATACCTAGGGGCCCTATATCTTGCAAGCACCCACTCACGCAATAATCGACGGCGACTGTACTGCAACCGATGTACTGAGCAGTTCCCAGCTCATCTGTTGGAAAGCCGTGTTAGAGCTGAATGGCTTGATATGTGTATATGTATATATATATATATATATATGTATTGATAGAGTGGGACCTCCAAGCATGCACCAACGGACAATGAATCGGGAACCCTACACAAACTGCACACTTGCCAACCAAGCACCAGCCCGTGATAAACGCAAACAGCACATTGCATTCATCATCGCTAACCAATAAAGAAACCACATGAGCCATTGCACAGCCCAAACACATTTCTGTAAGTCAAGTCTCTTCTGTTGCTGAATGAACGCCGCCGCAAAGTCCGCCTCCATCGAATGGTCGCTGGCGCTGTTGTGGTGCTCTCCAAGAATCACCACATCGCAGTCGTTGGCCAACTCATGAGGGAACCTTCATCCGGGGCGGGCGTACACTGAATGGGTTAGCAAGAGCTGGGGTGTCGATTTCCAAGGAGCAACACGAGGGGCCCACCTCAATAGCCTCTTCGGAACCCACTTTCAAGCAGGAATCATGAGGGAATCTTCCCAACCCGTGAGACGATAACAAAAGAACTGACAGTTCTTTCAAGTCTTTGAAGCCTCATTTCAACAAATGAATGACAAGGATCAACACAAAACCAAAACCAAACAAAAACATACCAAGGCCAGCGAAGGAACGCCTCAGTGGGTAGGTTGACTTTGGAGGGAAGAGTTTCCTCTGTGATGTGGTAGATCAACCGAGAATCGCTGGCTTCCGATCGAGTCTGATATCCGTAAGCTCCTAAGCATCCAATGCCAGCAGTCAAAGTCTTGCGTCTAGTCTGTGAAGGACCTTCTGGCTGAGGCTTGGAAGATGCAGGCAAGGCCCGCCTCATGTGAAGCCTTCGCGGGCTGTACCAGTGCCTCATCTGAAAGGCAACAGCCGAAAATCCCAGCAGCTTCCATGGAGCATTGGCTGCACCTTGTCTGCCAGTTGGCACAGGTGCCACAGGTGCTGGCACAGGTGCTGGCACGGGTGCCACAATGCCCGCTGGTGCTTTTGCCAGCATGATGGCTTCACTTCTTGGAAGCTGAACAAGTTGGTAAATGCCGACTTGTGCCAATATGGCTGCAGGTATAAAACAATTAGCAACTGAATTGTATTTTCCCGGCTTGGGAGTGACACGATGTCGAATCTACAAACCAACATGCTTACCTGCCAATGCCGAGTTCACTACGAAATCTTCACTAGATTTCACATAAGCAACAACAGCCAAAGTCCACAAACACAGAAGCATATCAAGCACGCTTCGTTAAATCAAGTCAGCGGCTGAAAACTCCCATGAAAGGACCAGCTTCCCCGCGGGATGACACCCCATTGACCTTTACGGGCGTACCTTTCAATACGGGCTGGGTTGGCATAGGGTCACCGCGCTAAGGACACCTGATTACAACACGGGACTCATTGAACACAACTTTAAGGTTGACCCTCCTGCATGTTTTTAGACACAGAAACTATACAACCATCTTTGCAATTCCAAAGGTGGCGATGCCTTTGACTCTATACTTCATCACTTGGTACCAACCTGTCATTTTGCACAGACATTCTCCTGTGGTTTCAGCAAACCCCAATTTCTATCCACCCTATCCGCATGGAAGTGACAGCTCACCTCCGGCACGGCGGTGAACCACGTCTGGCCCGCCACCACCAAGGTCTGCGAGCATTTGGTTGTTCGCCCGGACACCTGCCGGGAAGTTGCACTAAAGGCGGGGCTGTTCAAAATGGAGGGGTTGGCAAATCCGACTTTCCATCGTTGGGGAACCATCTTCTTTAGTAATCCAAGGATGAAGGGGTGCCTTTGAACAACCCAGCCAAAGGATCCCCAGCAAGACCTGAAGCCGTTTTGACTTGGTCCCGTTTCTGGGCCATGATCAAAACATGAGAAGGGGATAGTCGCGATGTCTGGCATCCTGACAAGGGTCACAGGGTCTCAAACACAAAAGCAAACAGACCAATCCCTCTGCGTGCTACTCCCGATCCGGATCGGTCCTCAGCAATCACCAGCTGCGGGCGCTCCTCCACCAGCGTGGCGCCGCAGCTCGCCGCGGCCACGGCGGCCACCGTCCTGCGATAGGCCCGGGTTTCAACGGAAATCGCCTGAGCGCTTCTCAAAGATCGCCTGGTGGAACCCCATTTTGGGGTTCCCCACCTTTTTGGGGCTCCACCAACCTTGGAGGGGGTTCAACCAACCATTTGGGTGTGGTTCCTCCATTGAAACTCCAAAGCAAGCACCTTCACCTTTGAAAACAAAGGTCCTGGGGCAGGTGCCCAGACCGGCGCTGAGATGCACACGCTTTGCCGGCGCCAAATGTGGACGCCAGGCTTCCACCAAAACCGCCAGCTGCGTGTGGGACAGCGGCAATGGGTGGGTGCCTGATGCAACATGCGGGTGTGGGGGTGTCTTTTTTGCACCCCCCTCCAAGATGGGTGGTTTTCCTTTTGGTTTCCCCTTACAGACAGAAAGGAGGCGGGTACCCGCAATAAAACAAACCAGCCGAAGCAAATGACACAAATGACACAAATTCCCCCCCTTCCTATGACCTCCCCAAACCAACAGTAGCCCACCAAAAACAGACTGGTGTCTATTTAGGGCCCTTTGAAAGGTTGGGTTTTCCCCTTACAAGGAAAAACGCCACTTTTGCGGTCCCCTACTTTGACAAATGCCCATTCCTCGTGGAGTCATGGGATCCGAACCCTCCCCTCCACTAAGCCTGCAAAAGCCCGATTTCATCGGAATCAGGCCTCAATGTGGCCTTGTATCGAAACTGCGCCTTTCATCACTTCTGTTTTTCTTTTTTTAAGGAAACCACCCATTGAGGTTTAAAGGGGGTTACTAAGGTTTGGATTCAGAGGGTGGGCTTCAGGCGACGCGATCTTGTGACCTCAACTGGCCAAGAGTTTGCAAACCATGGTGGGAGGTCACAGAGATCCACTCCACAGCAAGTCAAGGGAGTATAGTCACGTAAGTGGAGCCAGAATTGGCTGGATGGCGTTCCTCGTCATGTGCCGCGACTCTGGCTGATTTCCAAGATTTGTTTGTTTTGCGCCCTGGAAATGCAAACACACACACACACACACCGGCGATCTGCCTGTCTTCTGGGCAACTTTCAAGTAAGACCTTCAAATGTTACACCTGCTTGGCCGATTTCCCCATGAAATTCCAGGAGGTGCCATCCTGTTTTTTTACCATGAACAAGCACAACACATTCGACATGTTCGTCAAAGGAGGAACCATGCTTCTGCACTTTGTTGACAATAACTTCAAAACCTGAAATAGGGACGCCCAAGGACCTACATCATGGTGAGCTTGTTTTACCCTCAAATACGCTCGTCATAAAAAGCCAGATGCCTGACAGTGGGTGTTTGTAGTTGTTCGAGGTACCCGTTCAGGATAGTTAGAGGAACACAAGGAACACCGCCCCTGTTTGAGACATGCCCAAATAAAACGCCACATTCCTTTAAACATTAACCCACCACGAGGAATCTGACCTTCAATATATTGGCCCTGATTGTTGAAAACCGCCCAAACGGAAGATATGGGGAGCCTTCACATAAGCCCGCCTGTTTTCACCGAGATGCCCGGTGCCAGGGCCACGCACGCAGCGTCCTGCGCCTGGGCGCCAAGGTTCGGCAGCGGCGCTTGGGCGAGGACGGCAGAAGCGCCGCTCACGTCCACCAAGGCGGCGCTGGTCTGGGCCTGCTTGCAGGTTCTAAGGGGTTGGGATGCAACCAACCCAAAAGGTTGAAACAAAGGATCCCGGTCGAAAATCAGCTCCCGGATTGGTTATCAACTTCCAGAAACCCTCAGGGAAGTATCCTGGGCTTGGGGTTGGGTTGCACCACGCATGGGGAAGGCGGGGGAAGGGGGGGTGGGAGGGGGGTGGGAGGGGGGTGGGAGGGGGCGGGGGAAAATACACGGTTTCTGTGAGAGGGCACTGGGCTTTCGAAAAAAGGTATCAAGATTACCCCAACCATTATGGCCTACTAGGCTTAGCTGCTTAGCCTCATTGAAGAAGGTCTTCTTGCGAGAGCTCATCATGGTTCCTTTGTCGCATGAGCGGCGAAAATCGATGAATCCGCCCTTGGACAACGCCCAGCTCTGACTCAACTCTAATCCAAATGACCGCCCACCCAAAATCAACCAATGTGGGTGTTTCACCCAAAACAGAGGCGTGGGAAACCAAAGACCACCATCAAGAACGAGACTTGTATTTTGGAAACTCTCCTGGCTTGGGAGCCCATCGTTTCCACCCAAGCTCTGTTTTGGGCCAATAGGCCAGCAAATGAAATGGTCCATGTTGTTTTAATGGAGGCAGAGAAACAGGTTCGCGGTCGGAAGAACAAACGGCGCCCTAGCACTCACACATGCCTGTCCCACTTTTCTGTGTGCCACATAGGGGGGGGAATAACAACATGTCCATGCCCGATTGGTTTCCTCTTGGGGAAATGGACAAGCGCTTCCAACAACACAACAACCTGCTGCGAAGAACATGGAGTTAACAATTACATGCCACAACTCATTCTGTTTCTGACAGTTGCTGCCATTCTGAAACCCTTGTATACCAATGTGAGAGCTATCCTTCCGCGATTCCGGAAAACAGCAGCCATGAAATCAACCAAAGAGGAACCACAACATGATTATAGAAGTTTATGTAGGCCTTACTACAACCAGCATGTTGAACCGCCTACTATACAATTACCCTGAGCGTGCGCTTTGTCGTGAAACTAAGCATCTGGAAGCTAAACATGGAAGAGTGCGCATCCGCATCGACTTCCGCGTCTGCATCTGGACATGTGCAATAAAAAAGAGTTTCCCCAAACAAAAAACAAACACAAACTTCAGACCCACTGGGGAGTGATTCCAGGATCTGGGACATGGGTCTGAACTTTTTGTGGGTTTGTTTCTTCATGTTGTGTTTGCAGTTTCCCGTTTTAGGCCTGTGCGCAAGAGCTGCAGTGTTCACAGTTGAGTTGTACAGAAAAATATGTTGGAAAGGAAATCCTGTGTACATTTGATTTGAATAACACTGTTACGTGTTAACAACTGGAAAACTGTAAATACACAATATAAATGCTGATTGGATCCTGTTTCTATTAAATACAATCCAATGCCAAGTAGAAACTGTGTAGATTTTGAGCAAGCAACATAAGTGCAATTCATATGGAAAGAGTTCAGAGGTCCCAATTGTTGAATCAAATTGTGCTTAGAAAGTTAACTGATCTGCAAAGATAATTGTATTGGAAAGGAAATCCAATGTATCATGGAGGCTGGGCAGGGGGAAGGGGAGGGAGCCGAAATAAGCCCTAAATAGGGCCTTATTGCGGCTTGATGAGCGATTGTTTGGGCTCCCTCCCCCTCCCCTCCCTCCCCCTCGCCTCCCTCCCCCTCCCCTCCCTCCCCCTCCCCCTCCCCTCCCTCCCCCTCTCCCCCCCAGCTCCCATGAGTGTAGCATGTGTTTCTTTTGAGATAGAATAACTATAATAGAAATTATGCTTGGGTTGTGTCCTTATCGAATTATGGCTTTTCAGTTAGACATTAAGTAGATTTTGAGAAAGATACTTCGTGGGAAATAATTCACAGGTCCCAACATATCTTTATAAGCCTCAGCACTACCATGGTCAGAAAAAACATGTAAAACACAGTGTTTTGTAGCATGTTCATACTCGGTCCACATCCCCACCAACGGCCGCTCTCCAAATTCAATTGCAATTTGAATAAGACTTAAACTGGACTCAATAAGGGAATACTTGTTCCAAACCCTACTCGTAGCTATATCTTAATTTTACAATCTAGATAGCACTCCTTTTCCAGTGGAGCTTTACAATCCAAGTAAAGTTCAGGCAGACTTTGACAAGGACACAACCTAATCAGAATGCTAAATGTATAATGGACTTTAACGTATAATTATCGTACTTTCATTTAGACTTTACATAGGATTTCCTTTCCAATAGAGTTCCTTTACAAACCAGTTAGCGTGTAAACATTTGATTCAAAGAGAGTTCAACTCAAATTCAAATCTAAAATGTAGAGAAGCGCACGCTCACATTGATTTCGGCCTTCCAGGCCAGCTCGGAGAGCGTCTGTGGCTCTGCCATGACGGCGCAGGGCCCCAGCTGCTGCAGCTGCTCGGCCAAATGTTCCTAGCCACGGACAAGTGCTACATACAGTTGGTTCAACTGGTTAAGCCTCAAATTGTTGTGAGAAAAAACCGGGGGGAGGGGGGGTTGTTGGGTTGATTAAATGAAGAACACCTACCAGTAGTACTGTCAGTTGCTTGCATGGCCCGAAGCCATTGCTGGTTCTCAGTTGGAAAGGACATCTCAGGAGTAGCCTCGACTGGTCGATTTTGATTTTTAGGGGAGGTTCCACGCAGTAAAGAGAGTGCAACATGAAACAACCCCTAACGATCGGGTACAAACAAAACAGAATCCAAACAGAGAACAGAACCCCTGAAAACCAAAAGGCACCTGCACAACATGGGTGGGTTTTCTTCTGGAAATTCCCATTAGTGTCTTGCGAAATTTACCCCAACAGGTGCCTGCAACAAACGACCACATGAGGGTGTGCCTGCATTGGCGACCCTTCTCTGGGCATGATTTGCAAGAGGAGTTAATGCAACCCTTAATCTGAGGGGATCTTATTAAGAACCTGCAGCTAGTTGGGCAGGAGCGTGGATGGCGGGAGGGGAGACATGTCCCGAAAATATAAACATCCGAGCTCTTGATTCAGTTTACATTTACAGTAATTGGTGGTTTGGATCGGTGGATTGGAGGGGGACACCATCCCATTAAGTTCAAATCTTCAAACCCAACTAAGAGTTACCTGATTGATCAGATGACAGCAAAAACAATTCTCACGTTTCAACATCCCTCGCTAGAAACACACTGCGAAGGATAACCAAACACGAGCTAAAACTAGTGAAGCCAAGGGTCCGTCTTACGGGCCAATTTCGTCTGCCGGGTTTAGAACTCGAGATCAATAGATCCAGTGATGTGTTCCGAGCGCCCCCCAAACGCTCTGGACGACTGCTCCTCCAAACACCAGCACTTCATGGCGCCAACATGGAATCCGACACGAAAGCTCAAAAGCAAGAAGGACTGAATACGGAAACAAGCCTCTGAAGCAAAGTTGTGTGTGTGTGCGCAAGCTGGATGCCACATGGCCCGTTGCATGAGCTTCTCGGGATAACTGTTTCGACGGTCCCATTCTCCATTTCGGTGGCCGATCCGCGCCATCGCTGACAAGTCTCAGTGTTGTCAAGCAAGCAGAAGGCGAACCCCTCCATGCATGCTGCGACCATCGCAGCCATCTGCTGGTATCCTTGCAAAAGAATGGCGACCTCAGAGTCACGGGCGTTGACTTGTTCAACCGGCAAGATCTCTGTAACCCAAAGAAATTGGGACCAAAGTGGATCACGAAGAAAACAAACTGCCTGGTTGCTTTACAGAATGTCAATGGAATTTCCGTTGGTCTGAACTCTATCGGATGGCAAACACAACCTTCACAGTTCTCATGATAGCTATAGAAAGTCTAAACCGCGCGAACCGACACATAAGAGTAAACATATCCAGCAACTTATCTGTACTTATCCTGCCTAAAAGCATGTTAATCATCATGTAATCATACCGTCAGATTACAAGCAAGCACCTCGAAGCAGCCGAATGCCAAGTAGTCCATGGTCGATCCGATGCTTGGGTCGTCTTGAACGCTGCTGCAGCGTTCAGAATCCTTGCTTGTCTCACTTGCCCAAAGACTCTGGCAAACAGTTTAGCTTCCTTGGCCACCGTTGCGGGATCATACACTTGATCCTTACAGTAAGTCTCCTGTTCCCCGACCTGTGGCCATGGAAAGCGGTAAGTGGTTTTCAAAATAAGTCCCTCGAAGGAAAAGCAATTGGCGCTGGAGGTATGCAAATCAGGTGCCCTTGGAGCTGTGCACCCCCTGGATGCATCCTACTGCGCAGTGGCTGACGACAGACTTGGCCACCTTATGACATTATGAACCGGGCGTACTTACGGTGAAAGCTGGAAAGATATCTCCCATATAGTTGCAAAGCCTAAAGTGAAACCCAAAGCCAAGGCTTTAGAAAACCAAACAGGAAGGTGCAGGAGATGGTGGTATGGAGAAACACGTGTGTTGAGATCTCTTTGGGGTTCCTTGCGGCACCACAAATCAAAACCACTTTCTTAAACCAGTTCCTGGTGCATTCTTTGTTTCTCTGTTTTTTTGAGGGGGTTGCCCTTTCACAAGAGATCGATGCCCTTGGATCCCGACGCCAGGTCTGAAGGACATCCAAGGGCCTCGCATCGATTCCATCCGAGGCGCAGGGGCGGGCCGCCGTGGCTTGGCGCGATGCAGCAGCCGCTGATAGGCAGAGGCCAACCTCTGCATCTGCAGGTGGCCTCAGATTCTCAGCACCACCCGGACTTTTCGGGGCGAACGCCTCGAGGGCATCCAACAAAAGCATCTTGAGGGGGTGTCTCTAAGACCTCCCCTTGAAAGAATCCATGAGATCATGAGACTCTGGGGGGGGGAGAAGCACCTGAGCCGACCAAAGGCAAGTTCAAGGCTAGCTAGCAGGATTCCCTATAATTGCTAAGACCTAAAATGTCTTGAAGTGGGCTGCATAGATCTTAGACAGTCAAAATTGGAGCGCCCCAAGTTGCCCCCTTCAAAGGCGAGCCAGCATGAAACGACAAGGGAGGCCAAAAGGGCACCCGCATTTTTTGACACCGACGAAAAAGGGGGTGTCGCAAAACAGGGGTCCCCTTTTTGGAGATGGTGTTGAGAGCCAACACACAGGAAACCAACCACCTGTGGGATGTCCCAATTTGCAGAAGACCCTAATCAGTCCCTGGCAAAGTTGCTGTTTCCCGCCGTCCCAAACTAACAGTGATTGCCAATAATTTGCTCAGTTGCTCAAATGGTGACAATGCGTCCCAGCTAAGCGTACAGGCCCGATGCAAACGTCGCCCTAGGGTGGCCGGCCTGCCTGGAATTGAATTTTCTCCCAGGCGGCACGACTTGCGAGCAAACGACGTATGGCTTGAATCACCATTTGTTGACTCTCCTTGTGGCACACATCCACAGAAACTGTTGAGTGAAGCATATCAAAGCGCAATGATGCCAAGCAGCTCAAAGCTTCGCAGCGAGACTCATAGCACAGGCTGTGTGGGTTCGCTGTCACCTGAGAATTGTAAACCAAACAAAGGATGGCAAACACAACCCGGTGGTTTGTGGATGCTTGCTGAAAGTCAAACTCTTAGTGCGAGACGACATGACTTTATCTCAAAACTGCGAAAGTCAACACGTCTAAGGTTTTGGCTGGGATCAAACTCTTAGTGCGAGATGACATGACTTTATCTCAAAACTGTGAAAGTCAACACGTCTAAGGTTTTGGCTGGGAACCACCAACGAACCAGCGGGCAAGATTCAAACACACGCCTCCACAAGTTAAATATGTTTCTTGGTGCACATTTCAAACAAAACACCTATGGGATCAAGCGCCTGCGTCCAACTTCATGTTTGACAACCATCCATGCCTTTCTGCAAACCCCCAATGTTCACTTCCAATCAGTCTGAAGACGTTGGAGCACAAGTAGTGTATCGCAACACAAATCATGGCGCTGAAGCCTCAACCCAGTGAGTACAGCACACTGGGGACCCAAAGGCGCATGGGGGACTGGCAAATAAAAATAGGAGATTCCTAAAAGGGTTGGTCGCGCTTTGACTTCCCCCTTTCAAACATATCTATGCTGGGGTTCTAGCAAGCGCACATGCACGCTGCTTCGGAAAACCTGCTGAATTCACACGGCCTCTCACAAAGATGCATGGATTGTTTCGAGTGCAAATGCACGACTTGCGCGCATGAAATAAAGGATCCCCAAAGAACCTTCCAGATTCGAGATATCCGACCTGTCAACTGCTGTCATGCAAACCCCAAATGTATGCAGCCCGTCTGGGTGTCTCTCGTTGCGAGGTTTCACTTTTGCGGGAACTCTCCGCTTTTGTTTGGCAGCTAGCGTGTGTGATAGAAGGGGAGCAAAAAGGGCCTTGTTATGTTCATGCTGCGCAAACCACAACTCAACAAAAACACAGGGGTCGAATCTGTTGACAGCAAGTACACAAACACACAAAACAAGCAAACTGTTTGAAGACAAACACGAGTTGGACTTCAAATCGGCTGCCTTCCAGTCTTGCAGTCAAGCGTCGGAGGCCAGGAAGGCATCCACAAAGGTCTCACCCGCAGAGTCGGTCGCCTCATCCACTCGGTTTGTTTGCCGTGTGCGCGCGCGGTATCCCTTGCAATTACGTGCGTGGTTGTGGAACGTAGTCCTTTCCGCGTGTTTTTCCCAAGTAGGCCGCCTCCATGACAAGTTTATCACTTTAATTGTGAAGGGGATTCCCTTGGTATCACAGAAAGGCACACACACACACACAACATGTTCACAGATCCAGCAGTATGTGTGTGTGGTGTGCGTCTGTGCCTGCAGATTAGAAACCCCATCAGGTTGGTTGGCTTCTTGTTTTAGTTCCAAGAGGGGGGTGTCCAATTTCGAGACAGAACCATACACTGATTCAGTGCAAACTAGTGACTACTGTCGCTGAGGAGCGCTCGCTAAGAGCCATGACCTTCCCATGGCTCCTCTTGCTATGATCTATAGCTCTAAATCAGTACTGGAGTCAGGGTTGTCGCACCTCCCCCCAGGCCCCAGGCAGGGCATGTCGAAGAAACCCTAATTGCCCTGCAGCAGCAGTGAGGACAAAAGGGAGTGACCATTTTGTTGTTGGTTGATGAGTGAACAGGAAAACCTACCAAGCAAAATGGAGAAACACAAGTCTACTAAGTGTTACTGGGCAAATGCCAATGTATTATACAGCGTATGGTTGAAAATAAGCTCAGGTGATATCCCCAACAGAATGCGGTGCCCTTTTTGGTGTTCGCACCAGCAGCCCTCGCAGAACCTCGTGGAACACTGGTGGAACCCCGGAGCCTATCTGGGCTGAGACCCCAAAGCTTTCAGCTGTTGCGGAAAAACGGCCACAGCATGTGAAAAACGCAGGCCCCATGGCGACACCTTCTGTTCTACTTTGGGGGGTTCTAGGGGGCAGTTGTGCCAATCCCCTTCTGCTTTCCCTGTGAACGGGCCAGGTTGACAAAGAAGATGAAGAAAAACCAAAAGGTCAAGAAGTCAAGAAGTTCAACAGCCAAGTCTGGCTTTGCCGAAGGGAAGGTCGAAACGGCCCGTGTCCCTCGCCTCGTCGTCCGAGTCCGCCGACTCCTCAGAGAGGTGCTTTGCGAGCGCGGCCACCGTGGGGTACTCGAAGAGCATCTGGAGGTCCACCTGGCGAGAAAGTCCAATCAGCTACCTGCCAATTTATGGAAAACCGATTGCCCTCCCTCCCCCCACAACTGAAGGGATCTTGGGCCCTTGTTAGAAGGGTTCGGAGAAGCATGTTAGTGGGTAGGGGGACCTTATGGTGATTAGCCCTACGGTTGGGTGCTTTTTCTCAAGGCCCTGTTTTAGATTGATGTATATAAAAATATTTCAAAGTGAAACAAACGGCAACCCCGCCAAACTAGCATCCATTTGCTCGTTGGTCCTTTAAGAAACCAAAGACTGGATGAGAGTCCTCTGCAATTTGGGTATGTGTGTAAAACAAGCTGAAGAGGGCAGCCGCAGCCCTCAGAAACCCGGAACTAAAAAAGGGGCTAACGGGGCTAACTTGTACAGTCACTTCAAATTTGCGCAAGAAAAGGGCTCCTGTCTCTGTTGGGGTCCCATTTCAGAAGGACATCAAGACTTCGATAGACTATGTCATGTCAGAAAAGCACTCCCCCAGCAGGCTCCTACCCATTCGATTGCTCCTTTACTAATTCAAAGACAGCCAAGAGGGGAATGTTTCAAGTCGACCAAGACGGAAAGTGTAATTTTGTTGAGACACCAAAGAATAACGGATGCCATTTTAAGGGGTGTGCGTCGCATCACATGGGATCCCTTCGCAGGAAACGCCTTTTGGCTCCGACGCCCGACGCGTGAAGCGCGCGTGGCACGCCTTGTGCAGCCTGGGCCGTGCGCGCATCTTGGTGATGAGCCGGCCGAAGCCGCCGGAGTCCACACCCAGGTCCTGAACTGGGATGGGGCCAAGGGGACACGAGACGATTTGGCGACCACTGCTTTTTTGTTCGTTGTCTATGTTTTTGCTTTTTGTAGTTGTAGTTGTTGTTGCTGTTTTGTTTTTGGGGGCGGGGTTAGGGAAGGGCTTTTTTGAGGGGTTGGCCCCAGCGAAACCACTGTTTTTGTTTGGTTTTGGGGCTTTTCAGGGCCAGGCCCTACTATTTTGATCAAGAAGTTGGCTAACTGGTTAACTAAAGGGGGTTCAGTGGTTTGGGTTGGGACAATCCTCACGAAACCAATACAGGGGCGGGGTTAACAGACCTCTGCATGTGAAGCGCCTCCTCAGAAGCCAAGCAGGCATTGACAAATGGTTGGTTTTAAAGGCAAACCCTTCCCACGAAAAGATAATAAGGCCGGAATCCAGTGGCAACTCGGTGTGAAACACATCTCAAAGGTCCTCCATGAAGTGGTCGTTGCGACTCCAAGCCTCTGTCACCTGATGCGCCGGGTGGAAGCTGCAGCAGGTCATGTGGCCAAGCTGATGCATGGGTTCGCCTGCAGCAAATAGCCTCTTTCCCTTTGGTTTCCCTGCAACCTCAAAACTACCACCAAAGAAGGCTTGCTTCGGGTTCACATTGTTTGGGCCGGCGCGTTGTCGGTCTCCTCATCCCTAGTGTCCCCTTTGAGTGGTTTTTGCCAAACTTCCCCAAACGGCTTGGATTTGGAGGTTGGAAAAATGGACACAAAGGCCCTCCAAGCTAGCGAGCCCTGTTTGAGGACCATCCTGCCTAAAGGCAAATTGCTTGAGCTCGGCCAAACAAAGACGTGCAACCTCCACCAAAAAGGTGGCAAATGGGCCCCTCTCTCAATGAATGGCCCACCCCCAAACACAGCAAAAAAACAATGGCAGGCTCAGAAATAATATCCACAATGGGTGTGTTGCAAACAAACCTATATTTAAGGACCTGCCAAACGGAAAAAATCGTGCAAACAGGGTCCAGTACAGCGAGCCTCAAAATTATCGCCGAATGATGGTTTCAAGGATGCGTCAAGTAACAGGTTTCTCACCAACACGAATTGTGAGAAGCCCTTCAAAGGTACTACACGGGGCCACATGACTACACTCCTGATTCTCCCATGATCATGAGGTAGCACCCCACAGAACCCCGTTCTGATTATTTCGGCCCTGGTACCCAATTTATAAGAAGCAGAGCCCCCAAACGGCCAATCCGGGTTCTGGGCGCTGCTTTTATGCCCAGAACCCCTGCGAAACCGTCAAAGTCATTACCCACAAAACCTCGATCCACTGGCCTTCCGCCCATCGCGCCGGTCGCGCCCGTCGCTCCCGTCGCGTCCGTGTCTCCCGCGCCTGCGGCGCCAGGCACTGCGCGATCTCGAGCTCCAGCTCAGAGCACTCGCTCTTGTCGAAGGCCTCCCACCCGTCCTCGCCGAAAGAAAGGGTCCCGCAACTGAAAGCAACGCAAGGGGTTGACAGACCTCAACTCTCGCAGTTTCTGGCATTCAACGGGTCTGCCCCACTATGTCAGCTGCAAACTCTACAAGTCATTTCAATAACTGTATTGAGGAATCATCGGGTAAAGGACACTCTGGCAGAATTGGTAGGCCATTGATGAAGACATATACTTTGCTGCAACGGGGACAGCGCTCTTGAGCAAGGGAGGCAGATCATGGTTGTGGGCGTTGGGTGTTAGGGCCACTTTCTGTGATACCGAAGGAAACCCGATAATTCGACATGATGAACTGCTAGTCTAATATGGAGATGGCCCACTTCGGTATCACAGAAACGGCAGTTGCTGTCCACAATTATAAGGCAACAAAATCCTCATTCCCAAAACTTCCGGGCTGCTCTGAACAACCAACGTCCAATGCATCCATGCATTCCCCAGACCCTCTCTCAACGTCCTCTTCCCTTTCTGCTGCTCCAAAACCTTCCACAGCCAATCACTGCTTCTTTGTCTTAGACCTCCAGTGATCGTGGGAAGAAAACGGCACCTTTTGCCCCCACAGCTGAAAGCTATGGAAGTCTCTACCCAGGTAGACTCCGGAGTGGTTCAGAGCGGTTCTGGCTAGGGTTCCGGCAGGGTTCCGGACTTGTTTGGTAATTGTTTTCCAGCGTAAGCCCCTTCAATAAACGAAACAGGGCACCGCTGGAGGTCTGGGTTGTTCCTCTGAATGTCCCAAATGGTCCTGCTTCACCTCTCGCACGACCTCCTCCAAAGGCACCGCGTTCCGCAAAAGCTTCCCCGACGCATTGAACTTCCAATCGCCGCTGTCGACAATTTTCACCTGCGCTCTGCCGGGTGGGTTACTCAAGTGTGAATTTTGATTGAGACCCGTTGGCAGGCACCATTCACATGCTTCAGGGACCTCCAGTTAAGTTTCGCAGTAGCAAAATGGCTAGCTTTTGGCATCATGACGTGAATCTGCCAGAAGTGGAGCACAAACGTTGGCTTTCCACGAGTTCGGCAACAGCGTGATCTGACATGATGGCCATGCAACGAAACTACAAATCAATGAGAACCAGCTCAAAGCAAAATCAGAACGACCCAAAGCAAACACAAAAGCAAATACTGATTTTTCACGACCCCAGCATCGCCTGCAACACTGGTGCCTTCTGGGTTGGCTTCTGGTTGGCCAAGCTGGGGATGGTAACCTGTTTGGGGGGTTTGGTTGGCCGCATCCGCAGCATCACTGGCCTTACTTGGACCTAAGGGCGCCCATCGGATGGGAGTTGCTCGGGCTAGGTTCATTTACTGCTCGGCTGGTTTAGCAGTGGCTTCAGGGTTGCTTCAGGGCGTGGGTAAGCAATTTTTGGGCTAGTTTTGAGTTGTTTGTGGCAACGCGCCAAAACAAATGAGTCACTAAACGTCACGCAAGCCACTAACCCACCCAACACAGCCTGGATATATCTGGATATCAGCGGAGCCTAAATGAACCCGCAAACCCAAGGCCCGCCCTCATCAATTCAGGTCTCAGGCAGCAACTCCCAACTGCTACCAAATTGACCCCAATTGGCAGCCAGGCTCAAGGAGCCCGGTGATGCACGGGATGCCGCCAGCCAACCAACGAACCAACGAACCCACCGACCAACCGACCAACTGACCGACCAACCAACCGCAAGCAATCCAGTCAGCCAGCCAGCCAGCCAGCCAGCAAGCAAGCAGGCAATCAAGCAACAGAAAGAAAAGCAAAGCGGAGCAAGCCAAGGAATCACCAAGAAGCAACCTATCAACCAAACAATTGGCCTGCAAACAAAGACATTCATGTAGCAAGTAAAACACGCAGCCTTTCCGTCATTTCCTCGGCTGGCTGGCCTGGCTGAGCATGTAGCCCCGGCCCAGTGACAGTGCCTCACAGACCGGTTGCGGGCAGCATAGTGGACAAACGAAACGGGGCGAGAACATGTTGTTGCAGGTTTCAAGCAGGAAGCCGTTGCAAAACATGGGGAATAATGTCCTGGGCCCAAGTACTGACTAGATCAGGACAACACACATCCCTTCTCCATCATACTACCTCAGCTTTTGGGCCCCAACTGAATAAGTTGTTTGATCCTGGTCCATACGCTCGCTACTGCTCAGGCCTTCAACAAGGGGCTAGCCCGGGAGTGCCTCTGGGAAAACGGGGATTTGACCCTCGGCGCCTCGGAACTATCAACAGTCAATGACTCGAAAAGCCCAAACCTGTGCCGCCAATTTCAACAAACTACTCCTTTAAAGGCCACCTGGGTGTGTCTCCAAATACGGAAGTCTCCAAAATGGTTGGTGACCTTCTTTTGGCTTTCTTCTGAACCACCCTCCAAACGCGTACCCCAACAAAACAGACCCCATCTGAGTTTGACCGTACCACTGACCCACAACTCTCCGGCTCCGCCTTCTGCTTCAACTCTGCCTCGCTGGAGGTGCCAGAAACCAGCAGCACCTGGGCTATGGAAGCACCAAGGGCCAACTGGTACCCTATGTGCTTTTTGGGGAACTAGGCAGAGTTCCTCCCTTGAGTGGATTGGCCAAAAGGAGTCTAAGCTTTGTGTTTGGGTCTTCCTAAAAGTATAAAGATGTACCAAGTCCAGAAACTCAGGGCATTAGGATGCCCTTTCCCCCCTGGTGCCCTCTTCAGACTACAAGGCGCCAGCCGCTGATTGTCCTCAGAGACGCGGGCCTCGCAGTGCTGGACACCCGCCAGCTCGGCGATGGCCTGCAGATCAGCTTGAAACCTGAAAGCCATGGGTTTTGTATAGGCATCTCCCTTGCCCCAACGGGGGCCCATGTGTGTGGGCTCCAAAAAATGGAGGGTATGAGGGAAGGGGGCTATCCTAGGATAAGCCGAGGATGAGCCAAAGATAGGCCCCGAGGGTTCAATATGTGAACGCCCGCCCTCCCCATAGACCAGCATGAAGGTCCATGAACCAACATGTTGCTCATTGGTTTGCCCATTTGATCCACAGCCTGCCTTTGAATACGTAATTCCGACCTTTTGGAGAACATGATGGCTTCCCTGCTTGCCAGTACTGCAGATTATCCTGGAAAAGTTCCCCCGAAGGAGATTCCTCTGAAGGGAGAAGGGATTTGACCTTCCGTGACCCCGCTTATTACTTTAGGTTGCCTTTCCACTGTCTCAAAGGCTCCACGAGCCTTTAAGCTGAGACAAACAAACCAACTGGGTGTACTATACGAATTTACCAGCCGAAAATAACAAATCCTCGTGAAAACAGAAAACAAACAGCCTCAGGAAACAGTCAAAAAGGGTGCGATGTTTAATTGGGGAGCTTCTGGTGGACATCATTTTCAGGTGGATATTGTCCATCAACCATGTGGGAGGGAGTATTTTTGATGAACACTCACAACCAACTAGTATCAAACAAGTTATAAACCGCGATACGTGTAAATACCTTTTTTGCCTGGACCCCAAAAAGCAAAAACAAAAAAAACCAGGGGAGCTAATTCTGGGGAAGAACCCGGCTTCTGAGTCCCTATCCGCTTCGATCGCCTGCTCCAACGCCTCCAGCTCGATACGCACACCCCGCACCTTCACCTGGTCGGACTGTTCGACGCCCGGCGAGGGCGACCCACGCAGGGACCCGGCGAAGCTTCAGCCAGGCTTTGCAACATGTCCCCCATACACATGACAAAACAATTCTGCAGTGGGCTGATTGACAAACAAAAACTACAAGGTCAAACTCGTGGGGAAGTGCTGCTGGGAATCAAAAAGGGCGCTGCCAGACTTGACCCAGAATGTTGATATCTCAAACACAACGTCCGGTTGCTGGAATTGTGCGCTGCCCTGCTTTCACGCTCCACACATGAACAAACAAACCCAGATTGATTTTGAAGACAAACTTCAACTTGCCCGTTCGGGTCCCAACACGGTTGCATTCAACGCCAAGCAAACCCGTCAAACATACCAGGCTTTGTCAAACAAATGGAGAGCTAACGAGAACTACAAGTGTTGACTGAACACCCTGAAACATGGATGCTGGATATCAATTTTCATGGAGCCCCAACTAGAATCTGTATTCTAATATGGGAGTTTCTCAACATGGTGACCCCCCTTTTGGTTGGTATCCAAAAGGAAGCCAAAACGGGAACGAACCACTTCTACTTTGAGAAATCTCATGATATGGACCCCTTTGTGGACTTCTCCTACCAGGGCCGCGATGTGGTCCCCCCCCAAAAAAAAAGCCTCCCGTCCCGAGGAAAAAAGCAATGCAGCGGAATCGCTCGTTCGTTACTTCTCGGTCAATGTTCAACCCAAACCTCGGATTGCAATCTGTTCTACCGTCGTCATTTCAGTCTTGTAGAGGCAAAAGATGTAGCAGGGGTGCTCCAACCCTGAAAAAGGAAAACTAAATTGGGTAGAAGAAGACCAATCGACCAATCTACCCTTGTGGCATAGTAATGTCCAAAGTCAACACCGAGTGGGTCCAGGTAATTTCCCGGAAATTTGGGGCGGGCGCCTGCTGTGACCAAGAAAACCGCCAAAACATGAGCCTTCCGGATGTTAGTTGAAATCCA